CAGTGCAGGTTGATATCTTGTCTGGAATGTATAGTCTTAGAGACTGTCCAAGAGCACTGTGAGGTTACAACTTGCCTAGAAGTCAATCCACACTAGCATGTATCAGAAATTAAACACAAGTCTTCTGGATCTAACGGCAACTTTCTAGCCCCTAGCTCCTAAGCTATGCTGCTTCTAATTAATAATAATAACAGGAAAGATAATTAATTAATGAATCAATAAAATCAATCAATACTGATAATTTTTACTTATATATTATAGAATAATGTTTAATTAATAAGATTTAATTAAATTAAAATAAAAAATTTAAATTTAAATTTAAAAGTACTGTAAGTTCCTTAAAGACATACTTATGCTTTTGCCTTTGTATCTCTACCTCTTAGAAACAGAATGCCTGGCACATTGTAGGCATTTAGTCAAAGAATGTTGATTGGTTGATGATTGATTTTCTTGGGCTCTGTGGGAATGGTGCATTTTGACACAGAATTGAGATTGTCAAGGGGGTGGAAGTCTGCAACAAGGACCAGTGGAGAGGAGTTTTCTGCTGAGGGCAGCCATCAGGGGATTGAGCACTGGGGAGCATGATCATGTTGGAGTATCTGTGTGTAACAGGTCTGCTAAAGCAAGGCAAATATAACAAATGAGAAGTATATGTGTGCATGTGTGGCTGGGGTGGGGTGAGGATTAGAGATTTAGGTCATTTAGCCCTAAGGAAAAATTATACCTGCCTGAAAATGTGGTACTAGTTTTGTTTGCATATACAAAGGAAATGCATTTAAAAAAAATAGGATCATTAATTCAGAGCTGGAGGGGACATGTGAGACCACTTAATCCATCTCCCTCATTTGATAGATGAGAAAACTGAGGCTCGGAGAGGTTAAGTGATTGACCAAGATCATATAGAGATTATAAATGGCAGAAATAGGATTTGAACCCAGGTCTTCTGACTCCAAATTCAGGGTTCTCAAAGACAGGATGAGTCTTATCTAAAATCTGTATGTTACTCAATGCCTAGTACTTAACAGCTGCTTAATACATGCTTTTCGAAATGATGCAAAAAAAAAAATTGCTTGTCTTCCATTATCAGGGTGCCCAACTGCTCCTGCCCACCCATGGGAGTCCTGCTGACAGAATCCTGGTTCTCCTTCCAAAGACTTTTCAGCAAGGATGCCTACCTAATTCTCCCCCAGGGACAAAGATTATTTTCCTGATTTTATCAAAGAGGAAAAAATGAAGCAATTGAAAGCCTAAGCAACAAGTTTGGACAATGAGTCAAAGGTAAAGTTTGCAATAATAGTAATAATAATAGCAATTCACATTTTTAATAGTTTTATACATTTTAATTTTATTTTTATAGTCATGAATAGAGTTCTGGACTTAGAGTCAGGAAGATTTCAAATCCTACCTCCTGACTCATTTACTTGAGATCAAGAAAAAAAGAAACATAATAGAGACAGATGGAAACAGAGGAGTCATGTATTCACAGACACATGGCGGCAGGTAGGGGAGAGAGAGGCTCAGGGCCTTTCTTGCCTACCTCACAGGCAAGATAACCCTTAAGAAAAGGGTTTGTCTATTCGAGCCTTTTGCATGCACACTCAGTTCAGGATTAGTGGCCAATTAAAAAACCATTAGAGACCAGCTTCAGTAAACTGACAGGAAACAGTAAGATGATAATTGTGAACACACACACACACACACACACACACATACACATAATGCTTTGCATATTTTAACATGTTACATGCCAACTTTTATTATGTTTAATGCTGCCACCCATTTAGTGGGTGATGCCCTGAATGACAGCCCTGGAATCATGAAAGGAGGGGTGACTCTTCATAGAGTACTTGTATAGGGGGAGTGGGGATTTCTTCTTCGGAGATGGTTGGGTGGCACTTTGGAGAAGAAGAGGCAAACTTGATTTTTTGATATTGCTACTGGGAGTTCTTGGAGCCTTAGACATGTAGGGGAGCCAGACTACCAAAATGGCACATGACGTCCAGTGCTCGCAACCTTAGACCACTGCTGGGAGTAGACCTCCCCTAGATAAGAGTGTTTTTTTCTCTCCTGGTCTGAGCTGAGATCTTATCCCACTCTCTGCCAAAGAGGTTCCTTACTGTGGTGTATTCTTTGTTCTGTTATAATTTGTAAGACTTTCTTGGCTTTCTGGTCTTTTGGTTTTGATAAAGAGGTTTACTAGATATTCTCTTATCTTCTGTGTAACCAGAGTTGGGCGGGTGGGAGGGAACTAAGTTGGTTAGTATATGTAAGCTAAGTGTTGCCCTCCCCTTGAGAGTAGTCAGGGAAAAGGGTATTCAACTCCTGAACCTCTTGAAGTATGCATCTCTAGACTCCCAATGTTTGAGGCAGGGGGAATAGACAGAATTCTAGCCCAGCGTCCCTCTTGAAGAAAGGAGATTGGAGGAAAGATTTCAGGGCCTCAGTGGTCTTGGAGCCTGCCCATTATTCTCTTGCTGAGCCTCAGACAGCCCTCCCCTTGCTCCTTACAAAGGTGATTTTACACAGCCCTGCTTCACTTAAATCCAACTCACTTGCGAGTCATGACATCAAATGTCATAGTTCTCTTAGAGAATAAAATACAAACAATAGTAGAAACCACCCTCCCTTTAAAGGAAACGAACCGATACCCAAATCAGATATCTCTCCACGCAACATATGAGTGAACCATAGCTTTATATATAGACAACAACGAATTGCATATCTATCTTAATTTTGCAAAGATTTTCCCCATTCTATATTTTAGCCAAAGTAGAGTATGTTGTGTTCCCCATTCTTGTCCTGCCCTTTCTCTTCTCTGCATCTTTCTTCATGCCATCACTCACTCTTGGGACAGGACCAACTGTTGACTGTTGAAATATCTCCCTTTAAGGGCGAACTCAAATGCCTCCATTGAGCCTCTTTGCCCCAACCCACCCCCTGCTGAAAAAAGGTCTCCTCCTTTCTCAAATTTCTCTTGGTGTTTTGTACCGCTCACTATTGCCCCTAACATACTGTACCTCTTACCATACTCAGACTTGGGTGTGTTTTGTATTGCTGATTCCCTCCTATTACCCAAACCCTCAGTCTATTTGCTCGGTGACAGTAGGAGCTACGGGTTGTTATTTTTTTATATATATTTTTTTATTCCCAGTACCCAGCACAGTGCCTTGTACGTAGTAGGACCTTAATACATGCTGGTTTTATTAAATAAATACTGTTTTTATTAAATAAGTCATTTAAAAAAAAATGATTTTAATTGAAAGAGAAGTCAAGACTTCTGACTTTAACTGTATCTTTTTCCTATATGAATTTGGAAGTGCAGCAGCAAGAGGGTAGTACCCGGGATCTGCTTCCATTGGGCAGAATGAGAATGTAGAATGAAGTCCACTTGTAGGGGGAAAACTGTAACATTTTGAGATTTCCCTTGTTCCTTCCTATTGCATTCCAAATAAACAGAAAAGAGTGTGCATATAGATTCTGCTACTTGGTACCTCTGTGACCTCGGGCAAATCATGTAATCTCTCTCAGGCTTCAGTTACCTGAGCTATAGAATAGACCAGGTGATATCCAAGGTCTCTCCTAGCTTTCAAACCCCATGATCTGGAAAAGAGGGGGGAACGGCTTATTCTGTAGCTCATCCTGTAACTTGAGAGTGTCCTAAAGTCCTTTTCCCCTTATCTTGAAATACCACAAAACTTCTCCTTATCCTGGACCATAAATTCCTTGTCTTCCTCATCCTGTGTCATAAAATTTCCTGTCTTCCTTATCCTATCCTTGTCTTTAAACACCATAACTCTAAAACTACATCATCATTCTTAATATATCTATAATAAACCTGGTTCCCCTAAATACCAGTACCTTTACTCAGCCCTGTTGCTATAGTAAAGGTCCATGTGCTTTCATGTTCATAAAGCTCCCAATGGCTAAAAGAGAATGTCTAAGTGAATTCTTTCACATCTGAACCACTCCCCAGAATCTAACATCAATAAGATGACTTGCCCAGGGTCACCCAGCTAAGGTTGGATTTGAACTCAGGTATTTCTGACTCCAGGTCCAGCACTCTATCCATTGCACCACCTAGCAGCCCTTCATATGTAACATGGGTGAACCATACCTTTATAGGTAGATAGCAATCAATCATATATCCATATGCATATATCATATTTATACAAGGCACACTTTTACGTTTAGTCTGCATTGATATTTTCTCCATAAGTTTTTTAAGTCTAGATAATCAACAAAACAATAGAGGTATAAACACACACTAAAAATTTAATCGTCTCTTACTAGCCCACATGAGCTGGTTCCAGCACATCCCTCATCCAGAAACAGATTTATGCTGTCTCCTTAGTGGTAGCTCCTCAGCTGAACCCCACCTCCCCCACTTTCCCTAGCACAAAAGTTGCTAGCTACACTCCCCTCTTTAGGAGAAGAGACACTTTTCCTACGAAGTCACAGAATTTGCTGAAAATTTTTTACTGCCTTAATTCCAGAAGAAGAATTTGCTGCTTTCTTTTGGCCTTTCCCAGACTTGGGAAAGCCCAGTATGGTAGTAAGGTTGGCGTGACCTATAACTTAGATAAGCAGTAGAACTTGGCATTTACATACACTTCTGAAACACCCCCTTCCCCATCCCCGCCTGCTTAGCCTTCCGCCCTCAGACACACGTGCACATTCACCCATAGCTCCATTATCATAAAAATCACATGCCAAGTGATGGGAGTGAATCTCAATAGCATCCTCCCACTGAGTCAGTTGCAGGGTTTCTTTCATTTCCCATCAAATGTTATCATTTGGATTTCATTTGAGCGAATGTGAAAATGATTCCCAGGTAATTGCTGCAAAAGCTAGCAATGAAGTCATTTGCCATAAGCTTCTAGCTCCCCCGGGCATTTGAAAGGGGATAGGACAGTTCTGAGCGCAGTGAGGTGGCACAGTGGATAGAATGATGGTCCTGGAGTCAGAAACACCTGAGTTCAAATCTGGCTTCAGATACTTACTAGCTGTGTGACCCTGGGCAAGTCACTTCACCCTGTTGGCCTCAGTTTCTTCATCTGTCAAACGAGCTGGAGAAGGAAATGGTGAGCCACTCCAGGATTTCTGCCAAGAAAACCCGAAATGGGGTCACTTTGGAAACAAACAACTGAATAACAACAACAAAGCCTAATTATTTACATCAGAGGTGTCAAACTGGAGAGCAGCAAGTCCAAAAAAATAAAATATAATTGAGAAATGTTGACCAAAAGAACTACAAATACAATACAACGTAGATAAAGGTAATTTATGGTTTTCTACACAGCCACAGGGATCCCTTTCTATCTGAATTTGACACTCCTGATTTATCCATCATTTCTCCCTTTAGAATGTGAGTTCCTTGAGAGCAGAGACTGTTTTTTAAAGCCCTTTTTTATATCCCCAGCTTACGATAACACTTATTGAATGACTGCCCTCACTGGGTAATTGTCCAGCTCATATCCTCCCATATTTTCCACAAAAATAGCACAGATGACTGTGTAAAGTGCTTTGCTAAAATCTAAATGGAAATGCTCATAATGCATCCTAGTCTTTTGCCAGCAATGCAGATCGAGCCCCCTGACTCAGTTTGCCAACTCTGTACTTTTTCCACTTTTGAAAATTGGGACATTTGTCCTTCTGTAGCCCAGCAGTGCCTCTCCCATGGTCCTTCAAAGGTCACACATGGTGGATTCGCCATCACAATCTTCTGTTCTTACAGGACTCTGGGATACAGTTTATCTGGCCCTGACAACTTGGATTCATCAAGGATTCTCTTACAACCGCCTCACTTATGTTGGTTTCAACTCCCTGTTAACGTCTTTGTTTTGACCTTTCAAATCCAAAGATCATTATCACTGGCAGAGAAAACAAACAAAATAAGACATCAGCTGCTCTTTTCTTTTCAATGTCCATCTTGTACAGCCTGAGTGGTGAGCTGTCAGAGGGTCTGATTAAAACTTGAAGGTCACTTGGTCCAACTCTATTTTATGGAGAAGGAAAACACGAACCAGAGAAATTAAATGATTTTCTCAGGGTGGCTTGGATTGTCAGAATTCAAATTTAGGTCCTCTGAATCCAACTTTGATTCCCTTTCCAGTATTCCTCTTTTGATCCACCTCTTTCCCACCCAATAGCTTAAAACAAAACAAAATAAAACAAAACAAACAAATGAAAACCCCAACCCTCTTTCTTGTCTTTAGCCTTCTTGGCCTAGCCTCATTTCATTCAGAACCATGGCAGTCTTGATGCTATTCTTAGAGGATGATGCCATGCTTTGGGCTTCATCCCTTCTTCCTTGCCTTTGCTTCCATTTTCTGTGCAAGTCTTTTAAACGTCTAAATTTATTGAAGAGTTCCCTATGTATCTACATTGCCTCTTAGGCACCTATACCTCTTCCACCACATCAGAATTATTTCTGTCTGTCATTAGAATCTCAGTCTTGAGAGCTTTGCACTGAAAGGCAATATGGCACAGTGGATGGGGGCACTGGACTTGGAGTCAGACAACAGCCACACGTCTGTGGCTAAGTCACTTAACCTTTTCGTGCCTCAATTTCCTCATTTGTAAATTGATAGCTTCTAAAATAACTTTCAACTCTAAGTCTTGATGCTATATTTTCTATATGCTAACTTGACTCATTAAAATTTAGGCTATAGTATCTTACCTATATCCTTCCTCTTAACCCTTGGAAATTGACTCTCTCAAATCTAGAGCATTGTGTCTGACTATGCCTGGTTTTCTTCACCTTCTCTATCATAAATTCTAAGTGCTATGAGATCAGATCACCAAACTTCAAAGACTCATTGAATCTTAGAACTAGGAGGGATTCCAAGGGCCATCTAGTTGGACCTACATACATCCAAAATCCCTTCTCCAATACCTCCAACCTTTATTTGTTGTTATTATTTGTCCTTCATTCTTGAAGAGGACCATGACATCAGGAAGGTGATGCCATGACTTGCAAGTGAATTGGATTGGAGTGAGGCAGGGCTGTGCAAAGTCACCAGACTCACCTTCTCCTGGGTCCAGTGGCAAGATATAGATCATGACGACTGGAGACAGCTCCCAATCTTCATTTGAAGACCTCCCCTGAGGAGGAAGGCATCTTTTGAGAGAGCCTCATCCACTCTTGAACAACGCTAAGTATAAATTTTCTCCCTAGAAAACTTTCATTCCCTAATCCTCCATCTGCCTTCTGAAATGAAACAGAACAAATCCAGTCTGTATACCACATGATAGTCCTTGAAATACTCAAACACAGCTGTCATTTCCCATCTCCACTCCCCCAAATTGTGTCCCCCTCCTGGTTTTCCAGGGTGCCAGAAATTCTCATGTTACTCATTCCTTTGAGTTGATGCATCGAAAACTTCTGTTTAACTATAAATATGATCGGGGAGGGCTAACACATGCAGCCTATCAACAGCCCTGCACATCTTAGTACTAAGTCATCTTAACTGCTTTCAGAAGAGTAGCACCCTGAGGGCTTGGGGCAGAGGATGAGTACACTTTTTCACAGGATGATAGTATCTGAGTTGTAAGAGATCTCAGAGAACATCCAGGCCAAACTGATGCATGAAATCCTTCTAGATTAGTGGTTTTTAATTTTTTTTTTTTGCATAATGGATCCTCTTGGCAGTCTGGTGGACCCCTTCTCAGAATGTTTTTAAATGCATAAAATCAAATACATAGGATTACAAAAAGAACCAATTATACTGAAAGACAATTCTCTCTCTCTCTCTCTCTCTCTCTCTCTCTCTCTCTCTCTCTCTCTCTCTCCCTCTCTGTGTGTGTGTGTGTGTGTGTGTAAATCTATCCGTCACACAAGTTGATAGCTCCCAGGGTAAGAACTCATATCCTAGAGCTTCCCTAAAATGGTCATCTAGCCTCTCCTTGATGACCTACAGTGATGGGGAAATCATAGCCTTCCAAGGCAGCGGCCCACTCTATTTTTGGACAGCTCTAATCATTGGGTAGTTCTATTCTGCCAAAAATGTTCTATTCTATTTTGCCAAAAATCTGTTTCTCTGCAACTTCCACAATTTGTTCCAGCCGTGCCCTTTGGGATGAGTGTGATGAATCTAACTCCCTTTATTCAAGACAGCCATTCCAATACCTGGACAATGCCATCACATTCCTCACAAAGTCTTCTTCTCCGGGCTAAGGTTCCTTCACAATCTCACTTACAATACCTTTGTGCTTTCTTCAGCTTGTCAATGATTTTTCTGATACACACTGCTCAGAATTGGACACAGCACATTTCACCTCCTGTCTTAGCCAATAAACATTTATTAAACAACTACTCCATGCCAGGCATTATGCCAAGTGCTGAGGATAGAAAAAGAGCCCTTGCCCTCAAGGAACTTACAATTTAATCTGTTTCTGTACCTTTTACTGGCTGAACCCTATGCCTGGGATATACTCCCTCCTGGCCTCTGTTTTTTGGAAATATCTGGCTTCCTTTGAAACTTAGCTCAAACACTATGTTCTATATGAATCTCCAGCTGCTAGTGCACCCCTCCCAAAACTACCATAATAGTTTTATATATATTCATTCATGTCATTTTGTATGTTGTTGTTCAGTTATTTCAGTCACGTCCGACTCTTCATGACCCCATTTGGGATTTTCTTAGCAAAGATACTAGAGTGGCTTGTCATTTCCTTCTCCATCTTGTGCACATACACACATGTGTATGTGTGTATATATATGTATGTATATGTATGTATAGAACATGTATGTGCATATATATTCTATATTATTTGTATATATAAATGCTTTCTCCTCCATTAAAATGCAAGCTCCTATAGGGTAGGGATTGTTTTTGCCTTTCTTTGTATCCTCAGACCTTAGCATAGGGCATAGCATATATTAAGTACTCAATAAATGATTATCAATTGGCTGCTTTCCTAACTTGGTACTATCATCTCTTAAGATAATGACAATGGGGATAGGCACTGGATTCAGCACAGGGAAGTCCTGGATAAGAAAGCTCCCTCTGTCAATGCTGGTAGGCACCTTCTTTGCAACTTGGCCTCTGAGAGTTGTCTAGGGTTTTGAGAACTTAAGTGACTCCTCCAGGGTCATACAATCAGGATATGTCAGAGGGAAGACTCAAACCCAAGTCTTGCTGCCTTTGAGACCAGCTCTCTATCTAGTATTCTGTGTTGCCTCTCTCTTGGGAACAACAGGCCTTTTTTTTTTAACATAGCCAAAAATCACATTAGCCGTTTTTAGCTCCCATTCCTTATAGTCGCTGTAAACCGAGTTTCCAGTCCAATAAAGACGGTATAGTGCACAGAGCACTGGGCTGAAAATCAAGAAGACTCATTTCCTGAGTTAAAATCTGGCTTCAGACACTTCCTAGCTGTGTGACCTTGGGCAGATCACTTAACACAGTTTTCCTCTGTCTCCTCATCTGTAAAATGAGCTGGAGAAATAAATGGTAAACCACTCCATTATCTTTGCCAAAAAGGCATCAAATGGGGTCACAAAGAGTCGGAACAACTCTTTGTTGTATTTCTTTTTTAGGCAATTGGGGTTAAGTGACTTACCCAGGGTCACACAGCTAGTAAGTGTCAAGTGTTTGGTCTCAGGCTGGAGTTGAACTCAGGTCCTCCTGACTTCAAGGCCGGTGCTCTATCCACCAGGCCACCTGGCTGCCCCTACAACTCTTTGTTGTTGAACAACAGCAAAACCCCTAGATCTTTTCCCACATAAGCCATTGTCTATTCAGCCTTCCTCCATTTCATACTGATGTATAATGTTCTGAACCTTAGGATAGGAAGTAGCCATTCTGCATAATACCTTTTATCTTCTTAGATTCAGTTAATCCCAATCACCTTTTGTTTTGCCCTCTAGCAATGGAAAGCCATGTTTCTTGCTTATACTGCCCAATTTGACACTTGATCAATTTCAATTGATTTGCTATCACATTGTACTTTGCTGTAACTTGAGTTTAGCCTTCCCAATGAGAATGTAAACTTCTTGAGCCCTGGCCCATGTCACATGCTCCTTTGAGGTCCCCCT